TTGAACACAAAGAAGTCAGTAAAATTGTTTAAGAAAAGGTTGGCGATTCAATCATGTTGAAATTAGGAGAGGTCACCGAAGTCAAAAAGAGTGTTAAATCGAAAGAACATAGAGATGTAATTGATAGCCTGTTCAGTCACACAGAACTTCGCCCATCAATAATTGAATAGCTGAGAACAAGCTCGCTTACCAAACAAATTGTGTCAATAATCGCTTCTTTTAACAAAGCTACAAGTACAAAGATTATCCTTACATCTTTTCACGTTCGTGGCTTGTTAAAAAGCAAATGCTAGTCACAAAGAGTACATCCAAAACAGAGTATGAATACAGAATATTATACAATCCGGAACACACCAGAAACATCAGAGTTTTTTCAGCTAACCATATTCGATTGTAACTGAGCACTTTGTTGGGAAACTTTCAGTTGATTTAAAGGATGTGGAAGCTCGACTTAAGAGAAAAAACGAAGTTGTTTCCTTTGCCGAAACGTAATTGACTTGAGTTTTGAGTTCCATTTTACAGTTCTGGTATTAATAAAGATGTTTATTGTAATTTAAAGTTGTTTAAATGGTGCTAAAAAGTTCAATATATTCAAGAAAACAGAACATTTCAATATGAAATATATTTAGACTGTTTTATCTGTTTATTTTTGGACAACTCATTGTGTATTGCAAGTAATTTGACAGACTTTGAATAATTAACAATCATCAATATCACTAAGACAAAGATTACAATAAATTAATGAATATCAACATTTTAACGCATCTAAAACTTCAAAATTTTAATAGAGAGAATATATAAGAAAATACATAAAATATGATAAACTGATTAAAAATACTAATTGTTAAGTTAATAAATAATGTTATTATAAATTAAAAAACTATATCCAAATTCAAATAATATTTTTATTTTAACAACAATAATTGAATTTATTATAAAGAATGGTTTATTTTTTGAAGAAAGTTAATAATTTTATGGCTAATCAACAATTAACTATTTTAGTTTAATTATCATTAATTAAATGTTAGTTTAAATTGATTATAACCCCATAATAGAATAATTTGATTGTAACACGATTTAAAAGACAATAATACATACTGTAAATGAAATTGAAAGGTTCTTTATGGTGTTTGATTTGTTTAAATTTGATGTGTTTCAATAATTTAATATAATAATTATTAATTTCTAATAAATCACGGTTGTTAAAGAGTGTTAACTTAATAGGGAGTATCCACACGGAAATGGTGAATTTCTGTGGATCAGAGATAGAAATCTTAAAACGGATGAATAAAACACTTCCCGTATTTTTTCACATAAAATACCCAAATTTTAAATAATTGTAAAACAAATAAGTTTTTTTCAATTTTATCGGGGTTTGTGGAATAAAATAAACAAAAAATATAAAAATGAGACCTAAAAGTAATTTATGACCAACTATTGTCTTTGAATCAAAAGAACATCTACATGTAAACAATAAAAAAATAACTTCAATGAAATAAATCGACTTTGATATTTATACAAAACAAAAAACAATAATCAAAAATGCTTCCAATTAATAAAAAGTTAATTACTGTTCATTTTTGTTCATTTCTTTATTCCTCTGAACAGATTTCTCTCCAACCACTTTATTATGAATGAATTTTTTTCCGTTTTACTTCTTCTTTTATTCTCTTTTCTTTTTCGTTTCCCATTTCTAATTTCACCCTTTGTCTTATTTCGTCTGTTATTTTGAGTTCTGAAAGATCAAATTGAAGAGAAAACATGTGTAAAAAACGAGTTGCTCAAGGTGACTAGCGCTAAGTCTCATTCTTTTCTGTGTTATCACGATTGAACATTGTGAGAACAGACGCTCAGAAGAAGCAGATCTTGCAAGAATGCACAAGTATTTTTTGCTTAAGATGTACAAAAATGGAAATTGATACTTGTGCTTTTCCCACCAACTAATTGGTGTTAACATGTTGTTAATTTTCATTTTGATATATTCGTTCAATTCATTAACGGCGATATTTTCTTTATTCATTTCAAAGTTATCATTATGACGATCGTCTACAGGAAAACTTGTAAGGTCATATTTATCTTGTCTACTCGAACTACACAGAGCGACTTTCAGACCTAATTATGTTGAATTCTTTTGAAACGAGAGAATTGGACACTTTGTTCATTTCAACCAGTTGTTTAATGCAGACGCTTTCATATTCAACTTTTTTTTCAAACGACATATACAGTTTTTTTCCTTGCCAAGATAAAAGTCTTTTGATTCAAAGTATCCAGTTTTATATTTCGGGTTGAGTAACGCAGCCAAAATACAGTCTTCATCTTCTATAATGTTAAGCTTGGGGTCAAATCCCACATTTACATCTTTTTAGGAAATTTCATGGGTTGTGAAAAGCCTCTTGTTCATTTCACTGATAATTGACTTTATTAGTTTTTTTGCGGCATTAGTTGGTCCTTCTATTTCATTTTTATTTGTTTTTAAAAAATTAATTTTGCAATGTTTTGGCAACTCATTAAATCCAAAATAAAGACACCCCTTTACTACAGCACATTTTTCATAACGTTCAACGTGTTCTTCTTCTACTACATCATCTTCTCCCAAATCAGTATATATTTCCGATAAAACTTCAATCAAACGGCATGAAGTGAATATAATCATTGACAAAGTTGGATAGTTCTCAAATTCTAATAACTTTATTTCTCTAAAAACATGTGACATGAAAATATTGTAATTGTGAATGTCTAGAATGTCTTCTTTGGTTATTTTGTAAGTTTCTATAAATATCTTTTTTCTTTTAACATTTTTATTTCTTTGTACTATGTTAAGATCGTCACATTGATCGAATCGTTAAGTTCTTCCATTCTTTTTGTCATTAAATAATCGCTTCCCCAGGTCTTTTCGACTTTTTTAACAATTCCATTGGGGTATTCTATAACTGCTTGTTTTTTTAAAAAAAAAGTTAACTTAATAGTTTTGTTAAAAGTGAAGTAATTTTTTCATTTTTTTGAGTAGGAGAGTAAATCTATTGACGTTGTTAGTAGCATGCTCTGCTACTAAACTTGAAGTTTGACAACAAAAAATGAGAAATTTTTACCATTTAATTTACACCCTTTACTTCATATGGTGCATTACCGAGACAAATCCATTGTTAAGATCCCACTCTGTGATGAATCCATTTAACTTTGTTTTTATTTAATTTGATGATTAACCTTCATTTTTAAATCTCTAACAAACTTCCAATACTTAAAAACGAAGTCTTTTGTTATTTATTAAATGCATGGTTAATAACACGAATTCTTGATCACATTTAACTGTTGAATACCCATTAATAGTTCCACGATAAAAATCCAAAACGGCGACAATTGTCTTAAGCTTGTCTCGAGCTGCATAAAAAAACAAGGAATGACTATTTCTTTTATTGTACGGCTACATGGAATGGTACAGTCTAAACGGGAAAAAATGAAAGAAAATGTGAAATATTTTGTGATCATTATGTAATTAACTCAATAATTTTTCGAATATATAATTTGCTACTACATTATGTATTTCATTTTTGTTGATTCTTTCCGATTCGGTATTTTTTAGAATTTACTTTATTTTGAAAACAAGTTTCCGACATTTTTTTTATTATGAACTTTAATGTAGTACACTTTCTAGTATTGAAAAACGACATCGATACATAAATGATGAATTTGACATTTTTGTTAAGGTGTTTTCATTCTTATTTTGATGGCTTGGTCCCTCTGAGCTATATACCATATACGC